AAAAAAAAAAAAAAAAAAAAGAAGGCCCTGGATTCATATATGAAAGCATCTGGCATATGGTCGTCCTTCAGTAAAGGTTAGCTGAATTAAGGTATCTAGGGCCCTTTCAGATTTAGATACCTGTAATCTTAGACCATCTTCCACCTACATTCTTCCTTGGAGATCAAGTAGTGCCCCTGTCATTTCTCAGCTGAGGAACTTGGCTTGGTTAAGGTTGCGCCATCAGGGGAGAGCCGTGACAGCATGGACGGAGTGCAAACTACCTGTGGGGCACCACCAGAGCCCGTGTTTTTGGAGGGGTGACAACCCAGATGAAAAAGAAACAGACTCTGCTTCTAATCTCCATTGGTTGAGCCGAAGACAATGGTGAAAATGATATTTCCAGCCTGAGCTTGTTAGAGAGGTAGGTGCTCAGTGGGCACTACTGACTGAAAGAGGAGGGGAATCCAGGGGAGGTTGAGTGTTTATGGAGGGGACAGAAGCCAGTGTATAGAATTCATGTATTAATTACCATCATCACTACAAGAAGAAGGTGTGTGAGCACTTACTGGATGCAAAGCACTGTGCTAAGTGCTATACACACATTTTATTTAATTCACACAAAAACCTCATGGACAAGGTTACTGTTGTAAGAACATCCATGAGATGTTGTGCCCCAGAGCGAGGAGGAATGGGAAATTCTTCCCAGGCACAGGGAATAAATGTGAACAAAGGCAGGAATAGACAAGATGTTCCTTGTTTGTCCATTGGTTCCCCTAGAAGCAAAATTGGAATTATGTGGAAACTTCATCCCCTTCTCTCTTTTATGTCCTTACCCACCCGCACACCTGCATGAAGTTGTATCTCTTTACTCCAGGCGGACACCTTTGAGGGCATCTCAAGCCCACTGGGGCAGCCTGGGCCTGACCAGGCACCTCAGGATATGTTCCACCGATTATATTTTCACAGCTTTCTAGCTTTTAGCCCACCTGCACTTCCTAACCCCTAAGTGCATGGGAGAGAAAGTCCCTGAACACTTGATACCTCTAAACCTCATAACCCACAGAGGTAAGGAAATAAATTCAAAACAATTGAAATATACAACAGCCTACATATAGCCCCTGCACATATGGGTCATATTAGGCGCCTGAATTGTATATCCTGAAAGCTGAGTGGGGTGTCACTGAGTTTCCTGGGCCACAGGTCATAGGCTATGGGCTTTGCTAGAAAATTGATCAAGGAAATGGAAACACTAGCTGAATATTTGATATTATTTATGGCAGTATTATTATTATAGTTTTAGTTGTGATAATTAGAGTTTTTTTAGGGGTCCTTTTGCAGATTTGTATAAAAATAATTTGGTTTGGGGATGGATGAAATAAGATTCAGGCTCTTAACCAGCACATGTTGAATCTGGTTGAAGCCTGCATGGAAGTTCATTATACTGTTTTCTTTCCATTTTTGTATGTACATGAAATTTTCCATAATAAAGTATGTTTTTAAAGATTGGATCTGGTTGAAGGATAAACCAAAGTGGTGAAACAATATCCTTCAGAAGCTCCAGCAGGGGGCGACTCCCGAATTAAGAGCTTTCTTTCCCCAACAAAGACCCACCGGCACGCTGAGCCCTGTGCCAAGTGAGGAGGCCTCCTACTCAGGCGGTTTGTGAAAAATTAACTCCACGACATGGCAGAGTGAGAAATAAGCGTTCAGAGCCTAAGATGTGTCAACATTTACACATTTATTTCGGTTTAGAGAGACAACACAGATAAAACACTTTGATCATACACAAGTTTATATTTGGTCAGAAGAACAGGTTGCCACGTGTTTATACTTTTTATTTTATTTTTTCTGTCTTTAGTAACAGAGTAATGTTGGGAATATGTTGATGTCTTTCAGAAACACCAATTGGGACAGTATTTTGGCACACGTACCTAATAAATAAATACACAGTGTTTGTAGTTAGCATTTAAAAATGTGCAAGATGACACCCAGTTAGGTTCCTTGACTCCTTGTCCTGCTACTATATTTACACCAGTGTTCTTTTTTTGCCAATATTCTAAGGAGTAGCACCTACTCCAAACCCAGCAGGGACAATACCTGCAATGCTGGCAGTTTGTGACACTCCATATAGGTTTCTCCTAGTCTTAGAGACAACATAGCGTTCACCTTGCATTGGTGAAATCGCACACTTCTTAGAGGAGATTTCTCAGTAGGGAGCTTAGCCAGGAGCATGGTCTCTATTACAGCTGATGTGGAGGGCACACAGTTTAGCAGAAAGAGGGAGTGAGAGAGTACAGGAACAGGTGCAAATGTAGTTCTCACAGTATCAACACAGCTACCACATGGAAAAAGACATATCAATAATATATTGTACAAGCTTTTACAGCAATACATGTTGGTTTGCGACACTCTACAGTTCATATCTAAAGTTCAAAACCCCAATCTGAGGTGAGGAGACAGTACTATCAATATAACGAAGTCAACACAATTATACACACATTTGACTTCCTTTGCTTCCCTTGCATCCTTGTGACAGTACATAAAGTCAGTACCACTTGTGCGTCTCAGATAAAGACATATCACACTTTTTTCAAGTATTCTAAAATAATAAACATGATATTGCTGTATAAATAAAAATGGCCATGTCAGTTCTGCTTAAAGCTCAAACCAAACTTTTCTAAAATTTGTAAAGAATGGTCCTTATAAAAGCCTTCGGCACTGGGAATTTGAGCTGATGTTCAAAGCAACCTTTCTTCCTTCTTCCCTCCCTTCTTTCCTCCCTCCCTCCTGAGTAGATTACAGACCTACTTCAAAGAATATTTATTAAACTACTGGGATGTATTAAGCTTTTATTTTATTGGTCAGGATTTCACTGCATAGGACTGAGCAAGGCTCCCAGAAAATTCAGCAAAGGATCTGGAAGAGGCAGGCAGTGGGGAAGGAATTTATTGATAAAAGTTGCTTTGCTGAAATTTCACACACAGGCACAAAGGCTTTTCTTTTTAAATTCACTCACACCATCAAGTTACAAAGCAGCAGTTTCTCAAAGAGGATGTGCACCCTAGGGTGTCAGTATCTTGGAGGTTATAAGGACCTGTCCGGATTTTGGCACTGGGCCCCACCTTCTCCTCCAAGCAGGACAGTGGGTTCGATGATTAGCATCCCTGTGTCTGAAATGGGACATTTTAGCTTGAGGCTCAGGACAGGTGGGCAACTACATGCTTATTTTCAACAGCCAGTTTCCAGAAAGAAAGGGAGACTTGGCCATCAGACCCAGCCTAGAACAGGTGGCTTATTTCTTCATGAATTTCTGGGTCAGAGATGAAGAGATTTTTCTGATAGTCATTGGGAGCCCATTTGCTTCTTAGATAAAAGGATTTATGTTCATCCCAAACTTCAGTGTTTTTGTATATCATCTGAGAGAAAGAATGTAGGGACAAGCTCATGAAGAGTTCAAATGGTTGGGTCCTCTGGTTGTATTACAGGACTTTTTTATCTGTTGGAGGACAGTGGCCTCTTTCTTCCTGTATACCTGTAATCTTTCTGACTACTGATCTGATTTGTCCATATGGAAAGGATGAAAGTCTCTAAATTTACATGTGCAGTCTGCACAATGAGGCTACAGTCTTCTTACTAGAACTTGGAATCTGACTTGGAATCCATGACCCCCTAAACATCTATGAGAGCTCTTATTAGCTCATGTCTCTCCATTAGCTTGCAGTGGAAGCAGGATACTTTTAAAATATTGTTTGAATTCTGAGGATCTTATTATCTCTGCATACAAAGGTCATTTTGGATCTTGATGGGAGACAGATAAAAGGTCTTAGATGTTGTCTCAAATCTTGGGGGAGGGGCTCATTGCAGAAGAGGGAAGTAAGCACCCCTGGCACAGGAATTAATTATTTGGGATTCCAGTGATGGGGAGCCAAGCAGGAGAGGACCTTAGTGGATAGGAGTAGGGAGGCAGTGGGAGTAAGATATTACCCAGGAGGCAAATGGCTCCTTCCTGGACAGTAGCAATATGGCATCAAGGTGACATCATTATCCTCACACAGAGATCTCTTCTCTCAAGGCCAAGTTTAATTTTCTGGGCTCACCACATTCCTCTTTGCTCAGGCTGATTAGATTTTATTTTTATCTTTCCTAAATTAATCCAAATGACCTAATAAAAGCATATTGTTTGGGAAGATACCTCAGGAACCAGCATCAACCTTCTGTTCAAAACAGGCTGAACTGGAAAGGGGTATAGAAACAATTACCCCAAGTTAGTCTAAGATGAAGCTGAGCGGGTCTGCTAAGGGTCAACTGGGTGGCAAACTTAAACAGGAAGAGAATCTTATTGTCCATCTGGTAATCACTTCAAAGAACTTGCAGTATTTTTTGTGTTTGTTTTGTAATACTCACTTTAGAGATAAAATGAGCCATAACACGAATAGAAAGAATGCATCGTAACTTTGAAGAATTTTGTTTCAAAATAACTTTGCTAAGTGTTTTATTGTGCCTCCAATAAAAAAAAAAAAGAAAAAAAATCTGGCTTAGTTTTTATATCTGCCCCTGCAGTTTGTATAACCCATATAAAATAAAAATCTATATGTTACAAAATAGGATTTCTTTTTAATATATATATTTTCCTTTTGTAAAATTATATGTATTTAAATACACTTGAAATGCTGCTCTAGGTAAATTAGAAATTTTTTTCTAATACTATGAAAAAGGCAAGAATTTTTATTGTCAACATACATTTTTATATGTACTTTATCCTTTTTGCTGCACCCCAAAGAACCTTTTATGATTCAGGGGCAATTTGGTACTATTCAACCCTGCTACTCTGAGTGAAAATAAAGTTTGATTTGCAGACTATATTAAAAGGGAAGTACTTATTAACAATTTTAAAGCTTTTCCTCATTGATTAGAACATAGCCTTTTGTCACTAATTATTAGAGAGGTATTCTAAACTTAAGAAAGGATTTTTAGAAGGAGTAATGTTTTGTTTTGTTTTGTTTTGATTTTTAAACTGTACTCTACTTTGACACCACAATATAGAAATAGATTTACTTTGGAACAAACTACAAATACATTCACACAGTTTGTGACAACTTAATTGTCTACCTAGAGAATTGACACAGTTTAGTGAGCTAGATTATTATAAATCTTGTCCAAGACGTTCTATTTCTTCAATCAGGAAGTCAATGTCTTGGTGAGTGGCTGCGGGATTTGAGATGACCATGCGGAAAAAATTGACCTTGTCTGCCAAGGGCTGGTAGCTGACCATTGTGGTCCCATACTCCATCATTCTGGCTTTAATCACTGGGGCCACCTGGGGGAGAGACCGTGTTGATAAGATATTTTGAAATCTATTCCTTAATGGTGATGAAGAATTAGCTGAGGCAAAAAGCTCAAGACTTAATAGTACAGAAGTGGACCACAGGCAAGATTCTATCACACTTATACCAGACTGATGATTACAGCTATTCTCTACTGTGTATGAAATTAAGCTCAAACTCTTTAGATCAGGACTTTTGTCTCATAGCTCTGAGGACTCATTGTTCAGTGTGCACCAAAGTGAACCTTTAGCTCTGATGAGACCTGTTAGTTAATATCCCTTGAATGTACCACACATATTTTCATCCCTTCACATTTGTCCTAACAGGTCATGCTGTTCTCTTTGCTTAGGATCCCAGTTCTCTTCCAAGTCAGACCCTACACACTGTGTAAGGGTACCCCACAGTTCATAACCACTGTGAAGCCTGTTCTGATTTCTCTAGTCCATTCGTGTCTCTTCTAAGCTGTAAGCTGTAAATACATGATCCTCACCCATAGATTTGGACTATATGCTAATTTCCTATTGTCCTTTTATTTATGAGAAAATACATTTAATCTCTGTACTTCAACTGTAAGCTCCTGGAGGGCAGGTATAGAGTTCTTTACTTCTTTTGTTCACCAGCATAGCACTGGGTGTGCATTAAGGGCTCTCTTAGTCCTTACTGAATATAAAGAGGAGCCTAACAGAAACAGCAATCTAGGAAGAGGTGTGCATTTTAATGACATCTTAACAGTATGTATGATCTGTTCACATATTTTACAATTGGAATTTTTAAATATAATATCTGATCTTTTAAGTTCATTGCCAGCAAATATGTAGCCAGGAATGGCAGATGTCAGGGAAGCTTTAGACTTATTTAGGTAATATATATTAAGCAACTCACTTCAAAATGGGGACCATACCCCACATCACAGCTGTATTTGCGTTAAATGAGGGATAGATTCCAGTGGAATGCTGTTACGAACATGTGACTTTTCAATAACAACATTTAAATAATCATTGGCTTACAATGAAGTTTTCATCTTCAAAGCACTCAGTGAGCAAAATCAACACATTTCCCATCAGGCCCAGTTATTTGTTAGCTACCAAAACCAGAGCCAAAGACTACTTCACCTTCATTTCACATCCCGGACCTCATTTCCTCATGTAAAAATGAGTGTGGATGATGGTTCCAGCACTGACATTTTCTGATTCTAGATTAACACATTCTTAAATCCCTTCCTGACCCTTCCTTATTCCACAGAGAGGTCATGTAAAGAGGAATGTTTCTGTTGGGTTGATCCTTCTTTCCGCTATCGGATTAAGGATGTACACAGAGCATCAGGTTCAACCCAGAGAATAAATATAAAAAAGAATTTAAATATCTTGAGCCTGGGATTGAATTCTAAAAATGGATCTGCTAGAATATTCTAACCTAAAGACATGAAATGTATCACTGTGCTGTGAGGTACGGCAGATCAGTGTCCTGAAAGAGAAATCCCAAATTAGAAAAGGAATTCCAAATCTGTAGGTCTGCAGGAATTTAAGGAAAAATCACATAACTATTCCTTAGTTTTGTTTATGCCATAAATCATGCTTGTTCTTTAGAACTGATAAAACAATGATAATACTCTACTCAGTGAAATAAACTGCTTTTGTTTTCATGGGCAAGTCAAGAAAAAAGCGCAGAGGAATGGTATTAATTATTAAGGACAATCACCTATAACTTTTCAGATAAATGCAAATCAAAGGCCAAAGATTAAAGGTAACAGCCATCATCCCAAACAGTTTTTGGCATAAAGCAAGATGAAGTTCCCCAATTTCCTGAAGCTAGCTGGGTTGACAGAAATCACAGCTGTCTAAAGACTTTTGGCTGTTTTCAGAGAATGATGATGAACTAAAATTAGCAGGAACATGAACATCTACTTCATTACATAATCACTAATTATAAGTTCAGAAGGAAAATAAGATTCTGACTACTCTGATGAATATATAGCATTTTCATTTATTTGTAGACTTTTCTTCTTGGTCACATTCTTGGTTTTGATAAAGTCAGGAAGGAGAGGGGGGCAGCATGTTGAAATCACTAAAGACCTAATCGTCAAGAGCTGTTTGGGGTTGCCTTAAGAATTCTGGAATATCATTTTCTCCCTTGTGTTATTTGCTTGCAAACCATAACCAGGGAACTATTCCAGAATTTGAATCCACATTCATTTCATCCAAAGAGAGCTCAGGTTAAAGCATCATGAAATAACCTTACAAGATATCACAGAAACATATGTTTCATGATGTATTATAAAACCTTTCAGTTTTTAAATCTTGGAAGTCTCAGTGAGATTTTGAAAGATGAAAAAGTAGAAAAACTGTAAATGAGACATCCTGAAACATTAAAAGCTCACCAGCTAAATTCCCCATTACACTTAATAACACAGACTTTAAAAGAGTCATTTTGTGAGTCCAATCTATTTCCTTCCCAATGTACTTTTGAATATACTGGTGACCTTTTGAAAGTCCATCAATCAGTATAGAACTATAAAAGCTGGTAGAAGATATGCAGATAATGATCAAATGTAATAAAAATTAAAAAATAAGAAGATGGTGAGGAAGAACCAGACAAAAGAGGCAATCAACGTGCCCTCCTGTGGATTCTTGTCCTATGAAAGTCCGCATAGAGTCTACCTTCTGCCTTTGTGTGTGACTAAGGCATTTGTATGTGGCCATGGCTCCCTGGTGCCCCAGGCCTTCTGTGTCCCCCCAACCCCCAGCTTCGGTGACAATGGGCCACCTGCACACTCACTGTTCTGCCGGGACAGTAAGAAATGGCCCGACCATCTTATCTTTGCCTCCCTGGTAAAGACACCTCTGCTTCCTTGAGTGTTAACCACTTGTTACCTAGATGTCTGTCCCCATGCCAGGGCGCACACTGGGGAAAGGCCTGGGATCCACTAGTGGGTGTCCTAAGTCTTGTTCCCCTTCCCTATTCTGGGACATGCAAACAGCACTTTAGCTAAACAAACCTTTTTTAGCACCTGTCATATGCTGAGCTGTGCACCAGGCAAAAGAGCACAGAGTAATTCTACTTTGTCAGGTCCAGAGCTTAACTTAATTCTCTTGTTTGCCACATGCCACACAGAAGACTCCACATTTCCTCCCATTTTGGGTGTATATCAGCACTGACCAGGAGAACTTTATATGATGATAAAAATATGTTTTATCGATAGTATCTGGTACAATAGCCACCAGCCACTAGTTGAGCACAGGCAGTGTGGCTAGTGGGACTGAAGAAATGAACTTCTGGTTGAATTTAATTTTAATTGATTTAAATTTAAGTGCCAAATGCAGCTATTGCTACCATATGGGACAGTCCAGATGATCAATTTTGCCTCTGTCCTTTTCCCTCTGGAAGTTTGTGTGTGTGTAAAGATTTTACTGGTCCTTAGACATTATACATTAAGAGCTCCTACTTAAGAAGAAAAGTTTCTGAAACTCTAAAAAATTGACTTAAGTAAACAAAGACTTAACCTTGATATTGTATCATTTTACATGACTTTCTTTTGATTTCGATTTCTGAATTGCTGAATTTTGTCTACTACAGCCAGGAAAACCAAAACACAGGAGAGGAAAAAACTAGGAGAATTCATCCGGCAAACCCCAGAGACTTTAAAATTTGAATTACCAAGAGTCTAAAAATTGAATAACAAATAGAATATTAGTTTGCTAATCTCCATCCCCACCACAGTTCATATGATTTGCTAAGGGTGCCTTACTGGCTACAGAAGAATTTGAAGCTCATGCTCCTTTGGCTCTGGGCTCAATTATTTTAGGAAAATGACTTTTTCCCCCCTGTGTTTCAGTTTCCCTTCAGCAAAGTGGGGAGATAATAGCACTTCCCACTTTAGGTTGCTTATGTTAAAATAAATGTCTTCTGCCTGGATGCCATGTCAGCAACCAGAAATGCTCTGCTTGACCAGAAACACAGCCTGCACAGCCAACAGATCCCCAAACACCAAGCCATCTCTGGGGTGTATACTTATTTCCCTGTTCCTTACTCTTTATCCCATAAAAGTTACTTGTCTGCTGCTCCATTTTGCAGTTTTCTGGATCCTTGGAAACAGAGACTGTCCACGTCATGAGGTGTTTAATAAAGTGTGTTTGCATGAACTGAACCATCTGCTTTAATAATTTTTAACATTTATGAGAGGTAAGTGATCTAGAGCTAGACCAAAGGTGAGCTCAGGACACAATACACACTCTAAAAGGGAGCCATTATTATTAATGGTCCCTGCCCCATTACCCCTGGTTCACTCTAAAGACCCCACAGGGTAGCCTTGACCTTGGCATCTCAAGAGCATCAGCAGCACCTTTGTTTTCTAGCCATCTTTGGTGTCTGTAGTCGCTTCAGTGCTTATAACTGAGCAGCAGTTTCACCTGGCAGGCCAGTGAACTTGAGAAGGGTTCTTGCTATATTGTGAATGCCAGTGAAGGTATCACCTAATTGCTCATTTTAAAGCATCATCATGTCACTATCAGAAAAAAGAAGCAAATGGAGTTGCTAAAAGTCTGGATATACCAGCTCTGAATGTCCTGATTATGCAGAAGCCCACAGAGGGAAATGGGCCAGTGCACACAGGCTGGGTTGGATTTCTGCCAGAGACACATGCATGTGTCATAAAGACAGTGTGCATGCGAGAGGCCCAGGGTCCACACCAACGTCCATCAGAGGAGCTGGTATCACTTACTTTTGAGAGGCGGCTCATTCTCTCTTCATTGTCTTCCAGGACACGCAAACTCGGAGGGACATACCAGAAGCACACATTCGTGTGCTGCGGCTACAAAGAGGGAAAGTAAGATTCACACTCAGCCCAAACTGACAATTTCAAAAATTCCAAGGATGTTCCAAATCTATTATGCGGCCTCTGAATACAATTCCTACTTTTCAGTCTGTAATCACTTTTGGAGTGCCTGACTTTCAGCCAGGACTGAATCCCTTGCTGCTGTCTCCATTTTTACTGCATATCCACCTGCTCAGGCTGCTTTCCTTGGGATGATAGTGCCCTAATTACCCTCCAAGAAATTTAGTCTCTCCTTTTTTTTTCTTTGTCTTTTTGTTTGATTTTGATTATGATTTCAGCTCAGAAATGCTACCCCATCATCCCAACATCTCTTTTGTAATGGCCCCACATACTGGACAGTACATTACTGACATCAAGAAATATCAGTGATAAGAATTGGAATCGACTAAACTTATTGGGATCATAGAAGTCAGAATACATACCTTTCCGTCAAACACCATTTCATATCCTTCTCGGTTTTTTATGATATTGTATAAATACTCTGCCAGCTCCAAACACTTATCAATATGTGCTTCAAAGCCACTTGTGCCCTAAGTAAGAGAGGAAGAAAGCTTATCGGGAAGGCTGACAAAGGTGGGTGAACTCTGAGGCTGACATGAGGATGAACCCTTCTGGAAGCTGATGGTCTTTCTGCCTCTTCCAGCTCAGCTGGGCTCTGCGCACATTCCTTCCACGCGTCTGTGTTTCTAGAAGGTTTTTGGCAGTTATTTCTCCTCTAATGCTCTCCCCCTCAGGTGCTTTGTTTGTTTCATGTCATCACAGCTCTCTACAGTGGATTCCTTTTCTTCCCCAGCCTCCATCCCTAGGCAATTATTTTGATTACTTGAGAGGAAGATTTGCCTCTGCCATTCAGAGGAGTAATTATGGAAGTCAGTAATGACAGGAGGGCTGGCCTATTCCTGTGGATAAGCAGCAGCCTCAGAGAGACCCCAGATGCCTGCTCAGCCCCTGCCCATCATGTACATTTACCATGGCCAGACCCCACTTTGGTTCACCGATATACCCTCATTATAGAACAAATAAGGTGGGTGCCTAATGAATATTGGTAGAACAAATGAATGAGTGAATCTTCAGGTGCACACAGAGGCTTTGCTAGCCTGTCGTTCTGCAGAGCTCATTAGATTTCTCCTCTGGGGATAAATGACTCATGTGTCTGTAATGGGCGAACATTACGAACAAGGTCTTTTAGTTTCCAACTCTGGAAGCCTAGGATCTGGACTTGTGAAAACCAGTATAATAGCCTCGGATGGGAGCTATTAAAGCCACCTTGTGACACTCGAGGGAATTATTTTTTGAAATGGCTTTCCTCCTACCTCAGTCAGCATTTATGGAGTACTAACGCAAGGTTAGGAAACAGCCAATGCTCATCCGGGAGCACCGAGAACAGGCCGACCAGTGACCACAGGGGGGACATGAGGGAGCAGCTGCAGCAGAGCTGAGATGGGCCCCCTTTCCTGTTTACACACAGTCTCACCATCTCAGCTAAATGGGGGACACAGCATAGCCAACGACTTTTAACATCTGAAGCATTAAAGAAATCTGAGGGGTTCAAAATTCCTTTCTTTGGAGATCGCCCCCCTAGCTGATGGGTTCAAGGAGGCTGACTTCCTGATGACCCCAAGGAAGGGCCTGGGATGATGTCTGAATGCCAGGCCAGTATCTACACCATGCACCCTACAAGTCTATGGGTGCCAAGGATTTAGAGTGAGTGTGGACTAACCTGGCAGTTTGGGGCCACTTGGGATGGACCCTAGAATTAACTTTCAGAAGTTAACTGTTCTCCAAACTGGATCCTTTGGATCAGTGATACTTGGATTTAAGCTTGCACATACCTGATCTAGGATATGCCCAAGACCAGTATGACTCTGACCCTGTCCAAAGCTGTATGGCCTTGGCTAATCTCTCCGGTCTGGGAATGATGGTGCCTAACTGATTTCCATACAGAGACAGGAAGATAACATGAATGCTCTGAAAATGGGTTTAACTGTATTACAAAGGGAGTGGGGGTCCTCTGGCCATGGGAAATCTAGGACTTCACTCTGGAGACGGACAGGAGCAATCTGACTGCCCCTTTAGTTGAAGGCTGAAGAGGTGCAAGGAGAGTGACACAGGAAACTCCAGTGTGCCCCCAGGAGCCTGGCATCCCTCCTTTCATGTTGGATATTTATGGGAGTAAGGTCCCTATTTTATTTTCAGTATTTGGAAAGATTTTAGGAGATTCTCCAAACTCCATTCGTTCATCAAATTACCTGTTGAGTCATCATACACAACACAGTTCTTATTGAGGGAATGACGGGCATGTGGGAGACTTGGCCACAAGTGTGGGAGAGTCGTGCTTCTTTTGTTCACTGTTAACACCCTTATACCAGCATTGCTGATATACACTAGGTCCTCCATGCATATTTGCTGAATGAATGGATGAATGAATGAAAATATAACTTTTAGTCCCTGAGGCAATGTTTTTACTAAATATGTTCTAAGGACCTATCTGTATCAGAACAAGATCAATTGTGTTAAAAATGTAGATTCTCGGGCCCCACCAGTCTCCTAAGTCAGAATTTCAGGAAGATGAACAGTATTTTCTCATTAAGGGATCTCACCATCTGCAGCATTCAGCTACTGGCTCTGTGTTGCCTAAAGAGCCTGATGTCTCCAGCGCTGCTCATGACCTTTATCTGCATAGCAAACCCCTCAGCTAACATGCTCAGCTTCAGAGATGCAGCTTCTGAAACAATCACTGAAGCCCTTGCTGCTGTCTCCATTTTTCCTGAATATCTACCTGCTAAGGCTGCTTTTCCTGGGGATGACAGCGCCCTAATTACCCTCCTGGCAATTTAGACTCTCCTTCCTCCTGGAATGTCATCCTCCCAACTCTGCCCATTGAAATCCTATTTCTGCCATTCTGCTCAAGACCCATCTGAGAAGACATCTTTTAGTGAACCATTACTGACTCTCACACTAGGAATGAGCTCTCCATCCTTTAGCTTCTCAAGGTGTGTCTGTGTTTCTTTTGTATCTGAGCACAGATCTTATCCTATCTGGAAAACTGTAGCCACCTTACCCCATTCAGCATCAGGCACAATAAGAGATACACAACATCTACTTACTGAAATAAATTAACATTTTAGAGAGAAAGTGAACATTCATTCAGTCACTCAGCAAAGGGTGCCAGGTATCACCTTCTGTTTATTAGTTTTTTCCTCTTCTATTTCTTTTCCCCAGCCATTTGCCAGTTTCTTTGTTATCTATGTTTTTATTTTGGGAGGGAATCATAGAAAACTATATGCATAACCATATATAAACAGAGAGATATCCTGGAAAACTTGATAGTTATATAGGAAGCCACTCCTGCAGGCCTAAAAAGGGGGGACTAATTTTTAGGGGTTTCTTTTTTCTGTCCACCACTCACTTTCAACCACTGAGGAAATCTGTCAAGATCAAGTCCAAGGATTCTCAACAAAACAGAGACAAAATGAGAGCTCTACCCAGTAAGAATGGAGTTGAGGGCAGGCACTGTGCTTTTGCTAGTGATAGGCCTGCACAGTGCACCATCTAGAGCACCTCCTAGCATCCCACATCGGGAAGCTCATATTTTAAACATATATTTGCTCTGAGTTATCTTGGACTTTATAAGATGGCCATCACCAGTGCATTTAGCCCCACTAGTCATTAATGGATTAAAGAATAGTAATTTATACTTAGGTTACTATTTCTCAGGTAGTTTATCTTTTGAAGGAGAAAATTGGGTCTGTTTGAACATTGCGTTCTCCAGGTGTATCTGATAACAGGGAGCTTACTGATGAACGTAGTACTCCCCCCTCTTCATTACTCTTTTTACAGATTATCTCTTCATTCCTGAGGGGATACAGTAGAATTTCATGGCCAGCTCTTCCATGGTTCTTCCTAGGAGAGGATGACTTCTTCCCCGCTTGGAATTCCTAGAGCACTTCGGATGTGGGAAGGTAACTAGCCTCACCTCTGATCCCAATGGCAGCACTGAACTTATTACTTTGGTGATTATTATTATTTCACTTTGCAAAAAAATACATAGCTTTAAGTCGAAGACCAAATGTAAGTTTTTGCCATTTACATGCCTATATACTTGAGGTTTTACATAAGGAACCAAAAGAATATGTGTCTATAGGCTACATGGCTGCTGAGATGTTCCTTTTTCTTTTTATCCTCCATTCTGGTGCATTTACTGCAGCACTTTAGAAATTGGATTTTTTTGCCTTTACTTCAGGCTCCATTAGGTCCTGCTGTGTAATTCACACCTGGTGTCCTCCAATTTATTTCTCTAAGAACCAACTGGCTGCCCCATGCTGGTGAGGAGGCTTTGGATGGCAAAGGAGCAGCAGGAGCTGATGAACCAGGAGGAAAACATTTTTGTGCAGATCTAGTTAACAATTGTCATCTGAGTAAAAGCACCACAGGAAAAAGAGACAAAGGAATGATACTGAACAATATTTAGGGATCAAACTTTCCTTAGCTTACGAGCTGATATTTACATTTGTCATTTTATAATTCCCACCAATCAATGAAATGAAAAACCTACTTTTTAAAAACTGCTTGAGAGTACACCAATAATTCACCTTCTTGATTTATTTATTTTTGCCAAATGAAAGTGAGTCTTGTAATGGGTGGTGAGGACCTGGTGTATGTCCTTGTGAGGCTCTCAATTTTCCAAAGAGGTGGGGGCCCCTGCCCAGCTCAGGGGACTGGAGCCCACCTACCACACTCCTTTTATGGGGAACAACTTATCCGGGGCCTCACTCCGGGGAGCTGCCCAAAATACTTTGCAATGCTCAGAGAAAATTCAGCTGAGGCAAATACCATTACAGAGGCTTGCCTGGAATTAAGCATGACCATCTTTCTATTTAAACAACCCTTTTCCAGGATGGATTTAAAGAAGATTCCATAAAATAGTTGTTGAATGCATCGTTTTACTCCCAAGCCCCCTCTTTTCCTTGCTAGCCACTGCTCTTCTCTAAACTGCTTAAAGAATTTAGTTTTCCTTGAAAAATTTTATAAACAGCACTGTATTGATCTTGTTGCTGTGGACACAGCTCAGAGCTCATCACACAGACCTGAGAAAGAATCCATCTGTGTTCTCATCCTGGCACGTGTCACTGTCACTGACCCAAGCTCTCTGCTTGTTCCTGGGGGACTGAACTTGCCACTTCCTGGGGTGGGCTACTTAGAGAGCTGAGAGCCAAATTTATGGCCCCTCTCCCCCACACACAGGACCTCGGGGCAGGCCAGCTTCCCTCTAATCTCCCTCTTTCTCATCTCCCTTGGTCTTATGTACTCTTTTGGTGGTGGGGTTTTGCTAGCAGTGGGGTTTTGCTAGCATCTCCAGCTGGCCTTGGCCTTTGCCTCCTGTGGGACAGAAATGAAACCAGGTGGGAAATCACCACTGTGTGACATTTAGGTTACGAATCTGGTCAAAATAAAAAACAAAATCTTTGACCTTTCCAGACTGCTTACATTGAAGCATACATTTTTGCTCTTTGAAGGCTACAGTTCAGTCCTGCCAGTACCGATCACCAGGAGTTACGGGGTTTCTGTTTCTGAGAGGAGTGATCAACTATAGTTAATTTCTGAGATAAATATAGAAAAGGAGGCTACTGGGTAGTTCTTGAGCTTTTAAAAGACTTTAAAACTAGAGGTTGCCCTTCAAAATATCAAAAATAAGCTGTCATGGTGGGTTTTTTTCCTTTTTGTTCTCCAAATGAAAAGACTGCATTAACCTATCCAGGGCTCAGTTACTGCCTAAGGACCAGGAGGTGGGACAACCACTACAAGAAAATGCACCTGAAGAATCCAGATAGTTCTGCCGAATAAAGCAGCATAGATTTGTTTTCTACATGAGTGAGCATTACAAGAAATTTGACTTAAGTGGGAAAAAACTAAAACAATGGGTTTCACTGTATTCCTACCTACACGGTATCTGGAATGCAAGTAAGTATAGTATTAAAAAAAATCTTTAGCAAGTAATTGTCAATTTGGAAATCAATTTTCAACCTATCATAATAAGGGTCACCAGATACAGTTTCTGTTTTTAGTGAACATTCAGCTGATCCACACATGCTCACCTTTGCCCTCCACATTAGCCATAACTTAAAAACATCCACATGGCGCCCGCACTGTAAGGCCTTGTCTCCAGTGTCGTAGGACAGGTCATAGTGTTTATCTTGCTGAAAGAGGTAGGAGGCATGCATCTGATTGCAACTCTGCATCAGTCCCTAGAAAAGAAGAGAAAACAGGAAATTTACTGATTTTATCAGTTATTCCATTAGATTTATGCTGTGGTAAAAATTATTTAGAAAAAATTAAAGAGACATTGAATATCCTAGAGAAAGAAAATAGTGAGAATCAAATGAAAAATAAATAGGGCCAATATCTAGACAGGATAGGCCATTACGATAGGTCAGCTCTGTGGCATAAATGGCCCAGGGTCAAATGTTACCAGAGGTCAACCACAAGCATGACCTTCTTAAGAGAAGGCATTTATTTAAAAAAAATCATGATCAGAGTATATAATGTTCATTCCTTGGGAGACCATTTTGATGTTCTGATTTTGTTGTAATTAAAATATTTTGGGAACTCTGGTTCTGTAAAATATGATTAGTGAGATTGTTCTAGTGTTTCATTCATATTTAGTTCAAGTACTTATCATTTAGCTATTAGAATGTGAGTTCTTTCTGGAAATCATAGCTTTTAAGATAGTGCTATCACTTTTATACTGAAATATAAAAAAATAAAAACCATGCTCTTCTGAGATGTCAGATGTTATTATCTAAACTCATCTTTTGATTGTCATGTTCGTCTCTCAGACAGGTTAGAGCTTCAGTACAGCATTTCCAACCTCAGTTGCTAATGGTCGGCAGAAGTTTCACTGTTTATACCCCTGAATCTGCCCTAATGCCATAAGCTTCCTATGGAAAATGAGTAGCAACATGATTGAGCTATTCCAAGAACAGTGAATAAGTCATGCTCTCTGACTAACACAGCATTACCAG